AAAAGTGTCCTGAGATAACTTCTGTTATGAATTGGCGCTATACAAATAAAATTGAATTGAATTGAACTGAATTGAATTGAATTGAATTGGTAGTTTGCTCTGGTGCTTTCGGGTATGTAACATTGGTTATATTAAGCAATATGTCTCTCTGCTCTTTAACTCAGTTAATCCCACAGGTTAAATTTTGTACTGACTTAAAACTTGCTTCAGAAAAACTAAAACTAAAGTTAGAAACCAAATGGTGGAGAATTTTTAAAATCACTCTTCATCTGTTAGTTGTTTTAATAATCCATAAAGTATAATAACTCCAGTAGTAATAGTTTCTAAAGGTCCTTGTTCCTACACTGTGTGTTAAACCAGTTCACATTAACAGTGATGATTTCAGGTATAGAACACTGTATTTACAGGAGTTCAGAGATGTTATTTTACAGTCGTCCTGTGTTTCAGGTCCATCCTTCCTCCTTTGGGACGCCCTCAGACAGACAGAGGATGGAGGGATAGATGGATGAAAGGATGGGTGGACTGATTAATGGATGGAAGCTCTATAAACATGTAAATCTGACCTTACTGTGTTTCAAAGCTGCAGTGTTGGCTGAATGAAGCAGCGCAGCTTTAAAAAGCTTCTTCAGCCGTTCAGTCGACTCTCCGTTTACACAGAAAGACGTTTTTAGACAGAAGAGGCTTTGATACTCAAATACCACAAAACCCCCTCCCAACACACACACACACTATTATCAGTGTGTGTGTGTGAGGGGATCTCCGGGGACAGACGCCATTCTACCCGCCTTTCCATTACAACAGCACACACAAACACAAACACACACACACACACTTTACTGTAGTATTAACTGCATCTGTTACTACAACAACACATAATTAATGTATTTGTGTTTTCTGATGTCTTTGCTACAGCTGTGTGTGTGTGTGTGTGTGTGTGTGTGTGTGTGTGTGTGTGTGTGTTGTTTCCAGTTTGCTTTTCCTCTCAGTTTTTCTTCACCATTAATTGTAAGGTATCAACAAAATAATACAGTCAAAACAAGAACAAAATCATATGAATTGAAAGTGGAAATAATCAACTGTGGGTAACCATAGCAACAATTAATAGTCACATCATAACCAACATACTAATCAGGACAATTTGGGGTGTTGGAGAACAATATACTGTAAGGACATTTATGCTGAATTAATGTATAAAACAGTTAAACTCTGAATATGAAAAACCACCCTGATGACCTCAACAGGCTGCTTTAATTCAATTCAATTCAAATAAATTTTATTTGTACAGCGCCAATTCATAACAGAAGTTATCTCAGGACACTTTTCAAATAGAGCAGGTCTAGACCGAACTCTTTAAAACATTAATTACAGAGACCCAACAGTACCACCATGAGCAAGCACTAGGCGACAAGGGCAAGGAAAAACTGCCTGTTAAAAGGCAGAAACCTAGGACAGATCCTTCGGCTCTAGGTGGGTGGTCGTCTGTCTCGACCAGTTATTTTAAAGGTGGACACACACCTATAAGCTATTACTGATGACAGACAGGTTAACTGCTAGTGCTGCATTTATTATGTGTTTATTATCACTCAGCTGTTTGTCCAAACAAGAACCTGCTTTATTAATTTGGTTACTTTGTTGGACAAAATGTCTTCACAATCTTTTGACATTTGTGTCAATTTATTCTCAGAGGTTTGTTTGTCCTCTAACTGTCCTCTTGATGAGAACTCCAACACAAGGTCAGTCACAAAAATCATTACACTCAATATGAGCAGAAACATTTTAATGAATGCTTGTTTAAATTTGTGAGGCTGTGAGATTGATTTCCTATTCTGAAATAGTTTATGTACAGGAACTGCTCTGGCTCAGGTCTGTGGTGGTTCAGGTCTTCTAAATGAAGCGTCATTGTTCTGCTCTGATTGTTCTGCAGGTTCTATCGGAGGGATCTGAGTCTGGAGTATTCAGTGTTCTAGTGTAACTTGAGCTGCTGCTAATGTTCAGACTTACTGTGTGTTCGTTGTTTGTTAGAGGGGGATTCCCTGAACTGTGAGGACGTCAGGAAACTCCACAAACAGTGTGTATTTCTGTCATAGTGAGGACCACTGCGAGCTTTACAATGAAGTGAGGACATAATGTTAAAATAATATTCTAGTGTGAGAACATTCCTATAAGGTGAGGACATTTATAAATTTATAATAATTTAATGTTTCCAAAGCTTGGGGAGTTTCTGCAGGTTTATAGATTGCATAAAAATACACTGAAAGATGCTACAGTGCTGATGTGCACAGGTTTTTAGTACCTGATCACAGATGTTGCCAGGTCCTGGGCTCTTAGTCTTGGTATGTCTGAAGAGATTAGCCACTCTCTTCACATAAATATCAAATGCTACATAAGTGGTCTTTCTTATCACATTCATCCATTAGGTAAAAATCAGGATCATAAAATCCTTGATAAAACCTAGCAGAGAGCAGAGAGACATATTGCTTAATATAACCAATGTTACGTACCCGAAAGCACCAGAGCAAACTACCAATTCAATTCAATTCAATTCAATTCAATTTTATTTGTATAGTGCCAGTTCATAACAGAAGTTATCTCAGGACACTTTTCAAATGGAGCAGGTATAGACCGAACTCCTTATAACATTTACAGAGACACAAAAGTACCACTATTACTATTCAGTTCATTAGCCAGGTGTTTATTTGAATTAAAATCATCTGGAAAATCACTTGTTTCCCTTATGCTGAGATCCTATCATAGTTCCTCTTTAACTTGTCACCACTGAGCTCTGCTTCAATCTTGTCTTTATTGCTCAGTTTTGCATTTTTTATTTCAGCTCTTAAATCCTCCTTTAATTCCCTCTCTAAATTGACCTCACCTTAAAGCTATTATCTCTGACATTTCCTCATTTAAATGTGAATAAAGGCCATATTAGAGTTGTGTACTCACATTATCCAAAATGTTTCCAACAATGTTCAAACTCAGAGAAATCTGTCATTTTATTCTGGTTTTATTCACCGGTCGCCTGTTGATGGCATCATATCCCCTTTGTGTCTGTGTCAGCGTTGTGGTTGTCTGCCAGAAGCTGTCATACATTGACTGTTTACCATCCACTGTTTAGATCTTGGTGCTTTTTAACTCTAGATTTGAACCGGATGAAGGATTTTAGTCATCGGACGTCTGGATCTTAAGTTATCAGAGAAACAAGCTGAGCTAACGTTAGCAGCAGCTTGGCTCGCAGCCCCTCCGGGACATCCTTTGTCTGTCCAACAGCATGGGAGAAGCAGTGATTGTTAAGGTGGAACTGCTTTATTCAGTGTTTTTAGTGGTTTTAATCAGTGGGTCTGTTTGTGTTGGAGAGGAGGAGACCTCTGTGGATAATTGGGCTCCCGGTAGAAACCTCCTGAACCACAAACACTTAAGGAATCCTAACCGGGAGAAGCTGACTGCAATGACACCAATGGTGGTGAAGACAACAACTCCCATGATCCAACACTGCTTCACCACCTCATCAAACTTAATGTTTTGTTATTGTTCTGATGTCAGAGGCCCCCTTATGGCAGAAACTACATACTGTACGTTTAAGTTATGTCAGGTACTAATAACGAACCTTTCCTAAACCTAAGAAAAAACATTTTTTGTGCCTAAACCTAACCAAATTGTGACTGTTTGACAACATTGACCATGCAAGCTTCATTTTAACTGGATTTTGCATATTTATTCTTGCTAACTTTTACCCTGGAGCCATGGGGAATTCTGGTGACTTAAGTCAAAGTTCACAATAAATATCGAAAGTAGAAGGTAAGAAATATCTATTCCTGATTGAATTATAAAAATCTTTAGAACATATAGGGGCAAGAACGAACATTCAAAATGTGACAACATGAGGTGAAACATTTTTATGATGTCAGATTATGGCTACAATATCAGAACATTTCTATAATAGGAGAACATTTCTATCAGGGCCAAACTTAGTATATATGTATATGGGCGGCTGTGGCTCAGGAGGTAGAGTGGATCATCCACTAATCAGAAGGTTGGTGGATGGATATCCAACTTCTTCTGCTGCATCCTTGTCCTTGAGCAAGATACTGACCCAAATGCTATGCATTGGTGTTTGAATGTGTATAAAAGAGTTACTTTATGTTTGTCATCACTGTATGAATGTGTGAAAGGTGTTTTGCAAGTACCCTGCGTTACCTGGCAACATAGTGCAGTGTATGTGATGGGTGTAGAAACTACATGTCAGTTTACTTTAATATGTGTGTTTGTGCCCCCACTCTGGTGTCCATAGCTCATTTTACATTTCTATAATGTGAGGACATTTCCAGAAGATGAGGACCTCATATAATGTGAGGACATTTTTATAAGGTAAGGACATTTCTCAAAAGAGAGGACATTTTTATTGGAAGTAGATGTGTCTTTCAGGTGAGGACATTCTTGTTACCTCCCTTCGAGTTAACAAGCATCTTTTGGCACAGAGCGTATTAAAATCTTGATGAAACTGATGTTTAACATTATTGTCAACTTCTTTTCTGTAAAGATTTCTTATCCATTAAGAAATACAGTGGAAGATTTCACTCACCGGAAACATAATACTGACAGTTTTCTAACACTTACTGAGACACATTAGTATAAAATCAAAACTGAGATCAAAATAAAATGTAACAATTAAAGAACCAATCATTTGAAATGAATCAAATAATTCTAAGACTGCTGAATCTGTCACCTGTGCAGGATTATAGAGAATGGGAGACAGGTTAACAACATGTCAACAACATGTTAACCAGGCCTATATTTGCCTGACTCTGACTTAAACTGAGTCTATGTTTGGAGTCCTCATAGATACAGAAATACCAAGCAACCTGTACAGGAGTCTTCTTCACCTCCTCTAAACTGAACATTAACACAGAAACCTGAAACTCTCTCTTACACACACACTCTCTCTCTCTGGTCCGTCCTCTGTCCTGGTGACATTTAGGTAGATATATAAACCACAGTGCCAGACGCTCAGAACCAGAAGATTCCTGTGGTGCAATACTGAAGTACTGTAACACTCACCTGTCTGCCTACCTGTTGTACTTATCCAGGGACCTGTCTGACCTCACAGCATCATGCTCACCAGGTATGTCCATTTACTCGTCTTTAGTTGTTCCAGTCTGTTCACACTGTAAAACAACGATGTCGATAAAAACTTCGTCATCTGTAAATGCAACGCTTTACAGACATGGAAACAAGAAACTGAAACATCTATGAATGAATCTGTGAAAAGTTGTTTTATCTTTTATTTGTTTAGAGTTAAGAGTTAGGGTTCAGAGGTCAAAGGTCAGCAGACTTCTGTGCAACATATTTGATAAATCTGAAGTCCTATTTCATAATCATAAATGATGTATTTTGATTAGACCTCTCACATGCAATTTGTAATTTTAACGCTGAACTGAATCCAAAATCTAATCTATATAATATGCTGATTGGCTGAAAATAGAGACACACTTTAATGTGTTTTTCTGTGTTTGTTCAATGTGAACCAGAATATTTATTTATTATTATTTTAATTACATTTGATCAAACTGACAACATGGGATCACATTTAAATATATCTCATTTAATTTCCAGGCCTTATAACAAATGTCTGATTGTCAAAATAAAATTTCAGATTAAAATCAGTTTATACATATACATATGTTTCCTGTTCCAATATAAACTGATCCACATTAATTATTATTATTTATTCAAATTAATCATTTTCATCTGATGATGGACCAGTATGTGTCAGTACTGTACTTCTTCAGTTCAGCTGCCTTTAACTTTTTATTCAGCTGATAAAACCATCAGTGCTGTTAGGTCGTCTACAGGATGCAGACTTCAATACAAATTCTTAAAACAGATCTAAACATGTAAAGTTTGTCCTGATCTTTAGTTATTGCCCCCATGATTTTTCCGCTAGTGCCACCTTCAGGACAAATTTTATATTTTGAGCTTTGGACTGTTTTTGCTTTGTTTTTCCAGCCATTCAAAGCCACGGATCAGGAGATGTGACTAAACAGTCACAATGAAAAAGTCAAATATATATGTATATATATGAACTAGCTGCTGTACAGTGGCCACAAAGGCACCACAGGCTCACACAAAGGTTCTCAGACTGAAGGTTGTGTTTTTGTTGCAGGAACATTGTTCTTTTGTTCTCTCTGTTCACTTTGCTGGTGGAGGGGGACCTCGACTTCAACGGTGAGATTAAATCTAATTAGAACCTGTCTGATTAATATCTCTTCTGATTGAAACCTGATTGACAGTAAATCAGATGACATTACAGTTTGATTGACAGGTAATGTGACTGATGTACTGGTGTTTAATGAAACAGTTTTGTGTTTGCAGATGCTGGAATACAAGCCATGTCGACAGGTAAAGTACCTATTTATATCTTTTAGTCTGTCTCTGTCTCACCTGTCTCTGTCTCAACTGTCTGTTCTCTCTGTCTGTCAGATAAAGACTCCACATCTGATGAAGCCCCCACAGGTGAGCCACACACTGTCCACTTTAATAATCTCACAGATTCAGCTGTGACATGCAGAAAATGGCCTCAGGTCAGACTCGAACCCATGGCCATTGCAGCAAAGACCCAGCCCCGGCCCATGGAGCACCAGCTCCGACCAGGACGCCTCACAGTTTGGTTAGGTTTAGGCCATGCCATCATTTTAGTGAGTCTCCTGGTTAGGATTTCTAGTGTTCATCATTAAGGAGGTTTCTACCAGGAGTTTATTATCCAAATTATTCAATTATCTAAAACAAATGGACCCACTGATTAAAACCACTAAAAACACTGAATGAAGCAGTTCCACCTTAAAAATCACTGCTTCTCCCACGCTGTTGGGCAGACAAAGGCAAATACCTATTATTTGAGCCATCCATCCACCCCAGCATCTCCATATGTAGAGTTTCTGGCTATTTATACCATAACGTAATATTTTAAAGTGTAGGCCCACTGACCAAGTGGCAGTATATGACGACCGGGTTGTGTTGTTGTTGTTGTTGTTGTTGTTGTTGATATTGTTATTATTTTAGTTTTTGATGATGATCTTGTTTTTCTTGTTTCAGAGAGTATGAATGCTGTCTCTCCAGATCAACCCGGTAAGACTTCAGATCTGAAACTCTTTTGTTAGTTTCATCAGACTGAACTATGCAGAGAAATATCAAACAATCTTAAAGCAGCTGTAATGTTTTTATAATACTAATGTATGACATAACAATGTTAAAGAAGTGTCTGGTAGTGCATTATCAGCTCAATCTTTAAGGAGCTTATAGTGCCCTTCAGCTCATTGTTTATCGTTTCTGGTTCACTCTCTCTAATAGTGCTCTAATAGTGTAGTTTTCAGAATAAAAGCTATAAGAAGGCATTTTACACTACGTGATGAGCAGCAAACAGCAGACAGACACAGTTAGAGACTAACTGGTGAGCACAGTGGAACCTAGCCAGATGAAGGTGGATAAAAGTACCAGTTTTCAATTTTTAAAAACAATTTCATACACCAGTATATACATACATATATTCAATAATATCTCCAGAAGCAATTAATACATGAAATAACAAACAACCTCCAAACACACTGCCTGTATGTTTTTGGAAACAGCAGAGAATCATATGATAACTTAAATCTACTGTCATAAATACAGATAAAATCAATGCAGATTTGTTCCTGTTGCTTACAGCCTGGATGAGGAAAAGAAGTGTGTAACATCTAATCAAATATGTGTCTATGGGTGTCCAGTTAGCTCAGTCACTAGAGAACGCAGAACGGAGTTGCTGCAGTGGCCCTGGTTCAAATCCGACCTGCGGCCCTTTGCTGCGTGTCATCCCCTCTCTCTGTCCCCCTATCCTGTCAATTTTCAGCTGTGAAGGCGTGAAAAGGCCAAACAGATTACTTAAAAAAAAAAAGAAATGTGTCTAGAGATATTATTTATAAATGTTCATGCTTATTAAACCACTAATATAAGTCATTCAAAGACATTTCAAAATATGAATGAAATTCTAAATACATTTTCATCTCATTAGGATAATAGTTCATTCACAGTCTAAAAATATTAAAAGTTTAAAAAGTTTAGAAACAGAGGGGTTAATGACAGCAGCATCCAACAACACAAACACACATTATTAATATATAATGTTTCCTTTTCTGTGTTATGCTGACATCTAGTGGTTGAACCTGATAATAATATAATAACCCTTTTCCTTCTCACATTTTGACTTTGTGTGTATTAAATTGTTGGATATCACTTTTGAGGGTCAAAATGATGTAGGATAGCCTCCACCTTATTGTTATGTTATTGTGTTTTCAACTGTAGTATTTATTATTGAGGCAGACTGAAATAAACAAATCTAATTACTAATTATTGTCTAAATAGTACAATAACATTATTTGTTAAATGTCCCCCGAAAACATTGTGACAGTAGACCTTCACGGGCTTCAGTTTATTATAAAACGTATGTTAGTTAATATTTGAAACTAAATCCAGAACTGATGAACATTTACAGATTCAATATCAACATTATTCTAAATACTATTTGTTTGAACTGATTGATTCCAGATGAATCCCAGTATTATGGAGGAGGACCTTCAGGTAGGAACATGATGATGACAATGATGATGATGATGATCTTACTTTCAGGATGAATAAACTGAATAAAGAACCAGCAGCTTGGCAGCATATTTACCATATCCGATCCATCAGAGCATTGTGTTGATCTGTTTCAGATACCAGCAGTTCCAGCTCAGAGACTGCAGATGGTGAGATAACTGCAATTCATTCAACCTTTATTTACTTGTCAGGATTCATTGAGGTGAGAACCCTCATTTTCAATTAAACAGAGATTACATTAGACAACGAAAACAGAGATACACTCTAAACCAGTATGAAAAATGATGTAAAAGAAAACAGTCAATAACAACACAAACATCAATACTAGTAATCAATGTATAAATTAATTTTTTTTATCATCCATGCATTTGATTTCATGTGTTTTTTTTGTAGCTCCAGTAGCCAATCAGGTGACAGCACCTGGTACGTCCTGTTTTCTTCTACCTCTGAATATGTGTTTTTATTGACCGACCCTAACCTTATAACCCCTAACTCTTCTGTTGCTTGTTTTATTGATGTCAGAACCTGCTGCAGCTGCTGCAAACAGTGTGGAGGAAGAAGATGGTGAGACAAAAACATGGGCTGAATACATCAGTACTACTAAAATCCTGTCCCTGCACACCACGTAACACAGTACAGCAGAACACCAACCAACCAGACTGCACATACTATTATTTATGTACAGACCGTTGCTATATAAGTAATCTCTAAAAACAAATATCAGCATATGAATACAGAATCTGTAAAACAAGATTTTGGCATCAGAAGTGTTCTAGTTTCCATTTGTCGTCTGAGTATGATTGACCAATCATGTTTGAGCAGCTTTGGTTGCATGGAGGTAAGATAAGGAGGTGGAAAATTGAATTGAATTGAAGGAACAGACCATCGTTTGAGTATGATTTAGCTTTTAATTAGCTTTTTAAATTACTATCTGCATTCACATGCAGATATTTTTTTAAAGAGATTAACAAAAAAATTCAGAGAAAACAGACATTTGAACATTTTAAGACATTAAAAGGTTAGTTTATTTATCTATTACTGATTTTTTTTTAAATTATTTCTATTTCTTTAATACTGAACACTGTTTCAAACTGCTTTCTTACAGATGACGAGAACTCTGATTCTGAAGAAGGAGGGAAGAAAAAGTTCAGCTCTCGCTCAGCCAAGCCTCAGAGCCCTGCCCTCCTGCCACAAAGTCCTGCCCACGTCAATCAAAGTCCCGCCCACCTCCCTCAAAGTCCTGCCCTGCCCCCTCAACCAATCATTCCTCAGCCGAAAGCTCTGGTGAGGAACCGAACATCCAAGAGACGATCCAGGACCAACCGCCGTCAGATATAAGATGTCAGCACACACGCAGTAACATACAGTTACACACAGTAACACATGTAGTAACACACACAGTTACACACACACAGCAACACACAGTAACACACACACACAGTAACACACACACAGTTACACACACACAGTAACACACATTACACACAGTAACATTTGTAGTAACACACACAGTAACACACAGTACACACAGTAACACACACAGTAACACAGTTACATACACAGTAACACACAGTTACACACACACAGCAGCACACACACACAGTAACACACACACAGTTACACACACACACACACACACACACACACACAGTAACACACAGTAACACACACACAGTAACACACAGTAACAACATACAGCAGGTTCATGTTCACCTTCAATCCAAAAAATGTAAAACAAACTAAAATCTGCAGACAATCCAAAGCGTCTGATTGGTCAGTTGATTGTCTGATTGTCTCTGGACTAATTGTGAGTTTCTGTTTGTAACATAAACAGGTTCATCAGGTGAACTGGAGAAATAAACTAAAATCTTTTGTGACTCAAAGTTCAAACTGATGATGATTATTTTAATTCTGTTTCTTTTTACACTGTCAGTCAGGAGCCCCTGATATGTTAATGAATTTGGCCCCTGGCCTCTGTGCACTGTGTTAATGTAGCTGTTTGTTTTTTACTTTCATTCATAAACACTGAAACAACATGATTGTGTTCATATGTTCTGTTTCTTACTTTTATCATATTTGAAGGAAGTTTAACTGAATTAAACATGAACACCAGGTGACCTCTGACCTCTTTTCACCCTTAAAATATATAGAAAGGCCCTCCGTAATGCCAGAACAGCCTATCAGCACTAATAGAAGAAAATAAGAACAACCCTAGGTTCCTCTTCCGCACTGTAGCCAGGCTGACAGAGAGTTACAGCTTCTAATTGTGGTTCTGGAGGCAGACACACTCTCCACATTTAAGAGTAGGCTTAAGACGTTCCTCTTTGATAAAGCTTATAGTTAGGGTTGGCTAAGGTGAGTCCTGAACCATCCCTTAGTTATGCTGCTCTAGGCCTAGACTATCGGGGGATTTCCCATGGTGCACTGAGCTTCTCTCTTCCTCTTTCTCTCTTTCTGCACTCATTCATTTCTGCACTCATTCATGTCCCATTAATGCATGTTACTAACATAACATTTATTTTATTTGTAGAGCGCCAATTCATAACAGAAGTTATCTCTGGACACTTTTCAAATAGAGCAGGTCTAGACCGAACTCTTTAAAACATTAACTTCACTTCTTCTCCGGAGTTCCTGTACTTTCTCGTCTCGCAGGTTCTCATTAGATACTATAGGAACCACAAGTAGCCCTGCATTCAGAGAACGTAGTGTTCTAGAGGGGTAATAGGGTACTATGAGCTCTTTACACCACAAGGTTGTGTCCTGAGCCCGTTTCTGTTCACCCTGTACCCCAGTGAGTGTACCAGCCCCTCACCTGTCACCACATATATTAAATACTCTGATGACACTGCCATACTTGCACTCGTCAACGACAATAACTCTGTTTTAAGCTACCAGGACTCCATCTCCCACTTCACACAATGGTGCACAAACAGTCATCTAGAACTCAAAGTTAAGAAAACAAAATAACTGATCATCAGCACTTCCAGCATCCACAGCTCAGCACACAACCTCATCCATAACCCCACAATTATTAACAGTGAATCCGTGAAGATTGTGGAGTCCATCAAAAACCTCAGACTAACTCTGGGCAATAAACTGAACTTCGATCATCACACCAGTGACATCCACAAACGTTGCCAACAAAGACCCTCTGCCATCCGCAAACTCAATGCACTTTCTGTTGCCCCCCAACTTCTATTATTACTCTATAAAAGTATAGTCCAACCCGTCATCCTCTACTGTTCCACCTGCTTCTACAACATGTTAACTGCCTCAAATAGGAACACACTGACATGCATTACACACCACTCCTCCAAAATCATTGGTCTCCCCACCCCCAACCTCTCAGACCTCAACAATACAGCCATTACATGCAGAGCACACAGTATAGCACACGACCCCAGCCCCCCCCCCCAAGTCATTATTCGTACTGCTGCCATCCCGACGCAGATACAGGACTGTGGCCTGTTAACGTGCTGGAGTTTTGTACCTTCTGCCATAGCGTCTTTAAACAAGGCATCCCAGTAACAGCCGTGAGTGAGTGCTTCGCACAGGACAGGGAGGGGTGAATGTGCTAAATGTGCTGTATTAAGTGTTTATTCTTGTTGTTATGTTGGTGTCCATATGTGTTTTTCTTTTTTTCGTATCTATGTATGTATGTACAGACTGCGGTAACAAAATTTCCTGTGAAGGACAATAAAGTATATTATTATTATTGAAAAGTGTCCTGAGATAAGATAAGTTATGAATTGGTGCTATACAAATAAAATTGAATTGAATTGAATTGAAATTATTATTATTATTACTAAGATATGAAGGGGCCTGACCCTGAAGAGCTTTGTAGGTGAGGAGGAGGATTTTAAATTCTATTCTGAATTTTACAGGGAGCCAGTGCAGAGAAGCTAGTACAGGAGAGATGTGATCTCTTTTCCTAGATTTCCTACATTTGCATTCATTATGTTTTTCCACTCATTTATTGAGGTTTTGTGTCTGAGTATGTGTGTGTGTCTATATATATATATAAATCATTGTATAAGCAAGTTAATGTTTTAAAGAGTTCAGTCTAGACCTGCTCTATTTGAAAAGTGTCCTGAGATAAACTTCTGTTATGAATTGGCGCTATGCAAATAAAATTGAATTGAATTGAATTGAATTGAATTTAATATATATGTGAAGTAAGTAGAAAGTACAAATATGTGATCAGTTACTTTATAAACTTACAATAGATGTATTCTGCCAGTATATACAGTCTTCTTCTCTGTAGTGCCTTCCAGAGGACAGAAGAAGGAAATGTCTGATGGTCTGCATTCTTAAGGTGTCTAAGTCCTGGAGAGGTGAGAGAACTGAACAACAGACAGCAAAAGAGTCAGTAAAAACGCATAATACTGTAATTAATAAACTGTGAGTTGTATTGATCTCTACATAAACACCAACAGGAACAAGAAAAACTAAAGAAACGAGGAGAGTTTAGGGTGTGTGAGTGTCACAGTATTTCCTTGTATGGGACAGTTTCTGGGAAATCCTAGCTGATCTACTTCCTGCAGAGCTTTCATTCAGAAACTTCTGTAATTATTATTGTTATTGGTATTGTTATAATGATGGAGAGACTGACGTATGTCTCTGAGTTGATTCTCTGCTGATGACTAAACTGAAATCACATCTCGTCAGTTGGAAGATAAAAACATGAGGAAATGAAACAAAACCCTTACATTAGAAACTGTCCTCAGATCAGATTTACAGATTTTTACAGTTGCTGACACATATTTATCTTTACTGACTTTTTCAAAACTCCTCACACAGTCAACAGAAGGTAATGTGAATAAACTGTGGATCAAATGCATCCAGTGACCACATATTTAAACGGAACCACCGTGTTTTCATAGTATTGTAATATTGTAATTTACGTTCAAAGCCAAACATAACACACATTTACTGTAAATTAGACTGCAGTTGTTACATTCTGCAACATCTCAGTCTAAAAACAAATAAAAAATACATAAAGTCGTAATTGGTATGCTCTTTTCTTTCATTGATGACCTCTTCAAAAGATTTGTGCAAAGTAAGGATAGGTGGCAGATGAGGCAGGATCCAGAATGCTTCACAGCTCATCCCAGATTGATGTCACTTTTCTTTCAACGTTACTTTCCCTTAACTCCTGAGAGAAACTCTAGTCCTCATGGAGGTGGACATTTTCTGATCAGATGTCCCTTTCTGACACAATGAATGTCTGCACATATCTGCAGAAGACTGTTAGGATGAATCAGACATCAGACTGATTCTTTAAAGTGGATTACAGAGGACAAATGGTGTAATGAAAATGTGTGGGAGGACAAGCACTGTTGTGTTTTTATAGCTGTACGTGTTTTTAATTACGTATAGTAAATATGTAGAGTTTATATGTAATATTGGAATTACTTCAGTTTCTTTTTGTGCACTTAAAGAAATAAATCCTTTTGAAGCATGTTGTAGCATTTCTGATTCATTTCTGTGACATAAACTATGAGGTAACGCAATCTGTCTGATAAGGAAGTAACCTTGTTTTTGTTGTAATGGAGTCTTGGTTCATGCTACATAAAGAAAAAAAGACAATACTGGTCCATATTGCAACGCTTCCTGTTGTTAGTGTTTCTGTTGACGGGCAAATGTTATCAGTATTCTAGAGTTGATTCTGAGATGGGTATGAAGTGTTTTGATTGCTTCTGGATGTGAGATTAACTGTCGTTGAGCTGCATGTTGGTAAAGAGAAATATCTGTCTGCCAAAAGTGAACTCAGGTTAGAGGAATATTTAAAAAACAGAATGAGCTGAGGGTTCAACTGAGGACAGAAAACCAAGAAAGAAAAAGAGTGAAATGAAACTCTGTATGTGTGTGTGTGTGTGTGTGTGTGTTAGTGTGTGTGCTAGCATGCTAACAGCCTCTAATGAGGTTTCTGTATTCAGTTCAGTTTAACAGATGACTCAGTTGAACAACAGAGTAACAAACTGTTTGTCTCACATTCAAATAAACTTTATTAACATCAACAGTTTAACACAAGACAAATGTTGATAGATTAGTCAAACTACAAAGATATCAAAGAAAAGCTTTTTTCTATATTTTCTGTCTTCAGATGTTTCAACAACCTCTAGTTGTTGTAGATCATTGGCATATAAAACATCACAACCCCCAAAGAATTGCCACCATAACACAGTGGAGGGTTTTATATGTCCCTGTGATCCTGGGAGCTGTGTTGTTAGGGGCAAGAGCGCCTAAGACAAATTGGTCCCAGAGGAGGGGCCAGACTAAGAGCGATTCACAGACCCTTTATGAATTGGCAAAAAAGGTGCTGGCGTACTGACTCCTGGCATTGCAGATTGGTCTAAGGTTTGTGGAATGTCACCTCTCTGGTAGAGAAAGAACTGGAGCTTGTGCTAGGAGGTGGATATAGTTAGGTGCAACTCTATGCATAGAATTGGTTCTGGAACCAAACTCCTGGAGAGGGGCTGAACTCTTGGACCCTAAGCCTTTTCTGGAGTTTCCCAGCATTCAGTTGCGAGGGTGCATGCTTTTTTTTTCTCAGTCTCTCTCTTACTACACCTACTGTGTACAGATGTCATGCATACAGTTCCATCAGCCTGCCCCCCCTGGGATTTGGATCACAACTTGGTACTTCTCACCCTTCAATACCTGTCTATTGACCAGCAGCTCTCTATGACCAGGACGACATTCAGGAGGTGTTCACAGGAGGCTAATGAGTAACTACAAGGATGATCAGAAGCAAGAGACTGGGATACACTCTGTGAGCCCCATGGGGAGGACATCAACAGATCACTAATTACATCAGTTTCTGTGTGGACAACATCATCCCCCCAAAGACAGATACGTGTTTCCCAAACAATAAAATAGATAAGCAGTGATGTAAACAAAAGGAAGAGAGTGTTCAGGGACAGATACAGAGAAACGTCTCAGTGGTAGCTGAGAGTCAGGTTAATGGAGAACAAGATCAAGCTCCAACAAAACAAAGTCAGACTGTGTGGTCTGGGATGAAACAGATCACTGG